ACAGTATGGCCACCTCAGGCCAAGTGCGCGACAAAGGAGTGCTTCTGCTTGACCATGGTAGAAGATGCCGGTGTCAAACTTTGCGAACGCAGCAATTCGCTAACAGCGAATTCGTGGATTCGTTACGAGCGACACTGGCGTTTGCACCCTCTCGCATACAACGTGTTTTCTCTCCTCTTTTGGCAGCGCTATTTCTTTTCGTCATACCATAGCCACCTCGTACGGGAAATTTCATTGTTCCCTATGGTTCTTTTTGCATAATCTCCCTGTTGCGTTTCTCATCGCAGTTGTCTGATTTTCAAACAAAAGAACACATGGATTCGATCCCGATCAATGCCTTCAGACTTCTAGTCAGCTCCCAGTGCTAGTGCAAATCATGCGCTTCACATACAAATGTGTACGCTCTAGAATCATTAATATGATTTCTCCTATCGTATGGCTTCCTGGAGGGAACTGTTTGGTTCTCAAAAAAAGATACGCCTGCTACCGTATTGCAGCGATTTTCTGGATCTAGACATAGTGCCAAATGCATGGGCCATCTTCCCAATAGCTCCGATTGAAAAGGCACTGCCCTTAACCTTTGCTCTACTCTTTCAATGCAACACCTTGATTGAGTGCTACTTTACAAAAGTTATTTGAAACTCCCCACATCGTGATACCTCAATTAGGGAAGCGAGAAAAAGAGTTCACTGCTAATAAAAGGGTTAAATAACGTGGCCTGTATCAACTGGATTCCAACTTTCTAGATATGTTATTGTAAAGCAACTCCTAGGCCTCACCGCAATAAGAAGGGCATTCGGCGCATAAAATCGTGCCGTTTACAGAGATCCTAGTTTCAGGCCAGTATAGTGGTGTTTGGCATCTTAATCGAACTTACTTACATTAGCTTCAGAGCGTTCTTCCTCTCGAATGATACTGTTAATTTCATGAGTTTTGAAGAAAATTACAATAAGTACAGGAATGGAACATAGAGTAACTACAAGTGGCCAGCGTTTTCGCATCTGAAATTGGAAGGAAACCTTTTTCAAAAAGAAACAATCTAAATATATAGAAAATTGGCTACCACAACTATCATACAGAGAAAGTCATCTCATATCTCTGACCTATATACACAACAATATTATAGAAGGTTTCCTCCTCCTCGTCTTGAAAGCGGAGCTCACGAAAAAGCAGCTCATTAGAAAAAAGTAGAGGTGGGCAGTGGTACAGAAAAATCATGAGAATCATGAACAGCTCAGAGCCCGAAAATGGTAACATGATGTGTCCGATGATTTCCGCACTGGGGCAGATCTCATCGGCGCTGCCCTCTTTAACGCTAACGCTCTCTATGTTGAGCGGCCACAGTGTCAGGCGGCGAAGGATTACCTATCGGCGGGCGGGGGAGGAGGCGAGCGGCGTTTTGCAAGGATCCTGCTTCGCGTGGGCATAACTCTCGCTGTCCACCCGTTTGACGACAATGCGGAAATGCGGTCAAAGGGTCGACCGCGAGCATTTGCGCTCCGGCGTGAAGCTGCTACGTATTTTTTTTCAGTCGAAAGCCTCGTTGAGCTCGACGGTGATACATCATATTTTGAAGACAGTGGAGGCAGTGAAGGAAGGCCTACCTCTGCTTATGTGGGGACAACTAGAATATTCTGCCGTGAGACATTCATCAAAAGCGGCATCCTGTGTGACGAAAAATTTGATGATGTGAGGCAGGTGCCAAGTGACCTTTTTGTCCCCCCCCCCTACAGTTATGACCATAGCTATAATCATAGTTATAGCCACAGCATCTCGTTCCAAATTCTCTGGTTCAAACTTGACCGCAATCACCTTGTCACAACATTTATGCGCACCCTGTAAGACCCGTACCAAAACTCTGTCAGTGTGGCTGTTAGTTGGGGAATAGAAACGACATAACATTTTTTGAAAAACCGCTTGGCATCGCAAGATATGGGGCATCCTCTGGGACTAATCCCCTAGAGGGGGCAGGAGTTCAGATAAAATAAGAGAAGCTCATTCACCCTGAGTTTCCCCCATCCCCGCTAAAACGAGGAATGCTCAATTGGTCAGTCCGGCCATTTGTAATGAGATGTAGTCCATGGACGCGTCTTGCGACGCTGAGCTCAAATCCGTTTTCGTTATCTGCGGAACGATTCTCTGAAAGAAGTTACGAGGGAATCTTCTCACTATGGCTTTTTCACTGTGGCATCCTCTACATTCCCCTGTCCTACATGGTTCGCATATGAGAACAGCCAGAGAGCATCTCACACAATTGGCCAAGTGGCCTAGTGGATATCTCCCTAGACTCACACGAGAGAGGTCACAGATCAGATCCTTAGAACCGCAAAGCTTTTTGCATTTTTTCATGGCTTCTCATACGAGCCCAGAAAGTGTCTATATTTGGTTATTTTGTTGATTTGCGTCCCCACTTGACATGTGGCTGAGACAGACTTTGGAATTTTCCCTCTCGTCCTTCTTTTTAGGTTTTCTATTATGATGAACTTTGACACACGGGACAAAACACAAGGACACAGGCTCGTAAATATACAAAATTTCAATAACTTGTGAGCATATGTGATAGTTCTTCACATGGTGATCAAAACAAAACAGCTTTTCGCAGTTGCACAGGAAATAAAGAAAGAGCTTAGGTGATGTAGAGGGTGCCACAGTGGGAAAGTCACAAAGAGAAAAATCCCCCGTAACTTCTTTCAGAGAATCGTTCCGCAGATAACGAAAACGGATTTGAGCTCAGCGTCGCAAGACGCGTCCATTGGACTACATCTCATTCAAAACGGCCGGACTGACCAATTGACCATTCCTCGTGAGGCTTAGTCTTGTTTTCAACAATCACTTCATTATATAAACCAGAACTTTGGTGTGTCGGTTTGTCGGTGTGTGTGTGCGTGTGTCGTTCTGTCCGTCCGGACCGACCGCTCACAAAAGGGAGTACGAAGGGCAACACTTCGTGATGTTGATGTCATGATCATGATAACACCCACAGCGGCTATATAAACACCGATCGAGCACACTCAGTCTCATTCTACATGGTGCTGCCGTGGCAGCCGGAGGGGGGGGGGGGGGGGTAGAGGGGAGGGGGAGAGAGGGGAGGGAGGAGGGAGAGGAAAAGGGAGGGAAGGGGGAGAGGAGAAAGGGAGGGAGAACATGGCGCTGCCATGCGCCGGAGAGAAGGGGTATAAGGAGGTATAACACATTCAATAGTGAGGTGGTTAATGGAGTACGTCATGCTGCTATTCCGTGGTTCCTCCCTACCCTGTGATGCGCGCGATAGCGGGCGGAGCAAACCTGGTAAGAATATATTCCGCATGGTTATAAATGCGTTTTCACAACAATGACCAAGTATCTTGCGATATCGCCAACAGCACCATAAGGCCGCGTTCATAGTTCGCGACTCGGGAGATTAGGATAGTAGGCGACAGGATATTAGGATAGTAGTAGAGTAGGAGATTGCGCTGACAAGATTGGATACGTATCGATTGAAATCGCTGGAGAGTAGTAGGGCGACTTCAAGCGAATAGATCAATACATATCTAATCTTGTCAGCGCACTATCCTAATCTACTACTATCCTAATCTCCCAGACATCTCCGAAGTCGCGAACTACGAACGTGGCCTAAGAGTGAGTTCATGGTAACACAAAGCAGAAAGTGCTGTAGCACGCAAAAACAACATCAACGAACAAAAAGATGGGAAAATTGGAAAGCTTTCACGATCACGCCCAGTTTCTACATTTTGCGCTGACTGTGTGTATGACGAAATGGAGGAGAACGCGAAAAAGACAACACAAAAGTGGAAACAAAAGCGGTCGTAATCATGTTAGCAAAAAGTCCAGACTGAGTAACACTCATTGCTGGCCTAGTGGAAATCTTGCAGAAGCAGCGTCAAGAATATGTCCTGACAAAATGTCACGAAGAATGAGAATGCAGAGTAGTAAGAAAGAGAAGGGGAGTGCTCTGAAGGCGGACAGGATGCAGAAGTGGTAGCCGCGAGGCGTTAATTTTGTACAAATATGGTCGCTGTCCTTGAGTCTTGTTTCACATGTAATCTTCACTTTTCACAGGTATCAACGTGTGTCAACACGGCAATACACGTTAGCGCTGGTTTTGGGATCTGGGTCGAGCAGCGTCGACCTATATAAGCCCCTCGAAAAAGCTCCCTGTACGACCCCCCCCCCTTGGAACGTCCTACAACGGATAATTGAAGCTGCCGCGAGAACACCATGAAAAAGTGCTAATTTGATCTATAGCTGCAGATGCTGCAGCAAATTGTGCTATCTGTATTGAACCGTCCATAGAAAAATAGCAGTTTGAAAATGCTTCTACTATACAGTTTTCTTTTGAGCATCCAGAGGTCAGCCCTTCCGTATCATTGCATTTCTTTGCACTTTAGTTTGGTTGTAATGTACCAGAATTCCTCGGAAACATCCTTACTGATCTCTTTGAAGGGTAATTCTAGCGGAAACCTTATCACTGCCTGTTTTGAGACGCGCCATGCACTCGTAACTTGCAGGAACATGAATGTCATTCTCCTTTGCGCTGGTATTCAAAACCAGCAAGTCTGATGTGATGGATGCTTAAACCTACGTATGTCATCCAGATACATTTGAATTTCACTTACTCAATTGGCTCGCCCATTCTTCTTTATGCCAGCTTGCTCAATATGTTCCACGAATACATAGTGCAAAAGGCGATCGAAGCTTCCTGAAGGCCTCGCTTTTTGGCACATTCAAGTTCTGTACATCGATACCTTCCCCCATATCTAAATCAATGAATATTGCAGCGCGTTTAGCCCCTGGCCGTTACGCTTGCGACCCTACCCCTCTTCGAGTGACCAAATACGACCGTGATGGCCAAATTACCAGTAGCTGACCGGTCGACGCTGATGTCGAGTAAGCAACGTCGACTGCTCCTCATCAGCATCTTTCTCTACGAAGATAACTCCAGAGCATTACGCCGCGAAAATCTCCAAATAGAACATCACACCCACTCAGAGTCATCAGTAATAGCACAAAGACTGCTTATGAAGAAAGCACTCGTTGAGCATGTTATTTCTTGGAACAGGCGATGAAAATCGTGTACCTATCCGAACGACTACGCTTTTCTCTGAGAAGATTAAATGCAAAATGGAGATCAGACTCCGAAGTTAGGTTTGTTAGTTACAACATCTTCTCTCTGAAAATAATTTTATTTGTTGGAAACGACGTCCCAAAACGCCAAAAAATTCCTTGCAAGTGGGCTCTCACACTTCAGAAACTATGATTCTATTAGAAGGGATACTATTGTACAAAAAAATGCGTCGCCGAAACCTAGATGATCCATTCATTTTTTTAAAAGAGTTACCAAATTTTCTGAAATGACTACTTCGGAAAATGGCCTCGTCCTGGGAAAAGGTCGAAAACAAGAAAAGCTTATAGCTTTAAAGTTTTTCCAATTTGAGCAATGATTTTTTAAAGAAGGAACCTCGTGAGTCAAGAACACAGACCTAAAACTTCTAGAAAAATTCTTCTTAAAACCATCAAAGACTCTCATCAAAGTCGAGGATTAGGATCAAATTTACGTGGTGAAGTGGAGCTCAAGGCGGGAAAAGCAAAAATAAAGGTTATAATACACCGAAAATACGAAACTTTGGTGTATGCTGTGGAGAATTCTAATTGTAAGAGGCAGATAAGAGATGTGAGTCGTGGAAGGAAAAACAACTCCGCCTTGAGAGTTATAACAGACTAGCAGCGCGTCCACCAAGCCTTCCATCCTTCCGGGGTTAATTGGTACCAGACTTGTCTGGGAGGATAAAAACACTGACTTGTAACATCGGCTGGCCCCCGCAAGTCATTGTATAGGCCACATCGCATTCAAATGCCACTACGAATGTACAAATGGAAGTAGAATGCGTGCCGCATCCCAAAACGGGATTGATCAACGCCGAATGCTTTATCCTTTTTATCCTTTAACGGATTCCAAATTGGATAGTACACGCTAAGGTTATCTAAACCATACGTGGTAGGAAATCAAACCTGGTAAGACCCACAATACCGGAAGTTTTTGGGTTACTTCGCCAGCTGGGAGTCCACTGATCTGAATCTATGTTGAGGGTAAGGCGTTTCCTGGAACGAGCTCAATTAGATGCGTTCGTTTGCGTCAAGCTACATCCCTCGCAGATGTAACTTCAGTTCTAGAATCCAGAGGATTCCGAAAAGGGACCTGTGAACGCGAGAAGGAAATCACCTACTTAAGAAATGCGGAATTTAGCTCAGGCCAGGCTTGAAATTACGAATGAAGCATCAAAAGTATAAAAACCACCGCCGACTCAATTACCGAACCACCTTGCTGTTAATAACAAGCGTTATTCATCGTTGCGAACAAAAACAATAACACCTGTCTAGGCAGGGTCAACCGTCCGTTGGACAAAGTCCAAAGGGGTCGTATTTGGCCGACGGAGAGGGGGGGGTCGTATTCGCAAAGGTCAACGTCGCAATACGTAGGTGAGAGGCATAACTTTCAAGTGCTTCTCCAACTATTAACCACAAACGAGTGCATGGCGCACCTCAGAGCAGAAGAGTCTACTGCAGAAGTGTCCATATTTGACTGTTCACGTACACAAATATGCTCTCGAGGAGAACCAATGTTTTCAAACTGGACCTAAGTTAGTAAAAAAGTGACCACTAGGGTAGATTGACTACTAAGGGCTTACAAGAAAACTTTGGAAAAAAATATTCAACTGTCTACAACTTCCTGAAAAGGTTTCAGTATCCATCATGAAGCACAAAGCTTGTGCGATGTCATGGTATCATTACTCCTCATAAAATTGAGTTTGAAGAGAGCTGTGACTGTTTGAGTGTTGAAAACTCGTGTTTTCAGAAGAGTTGCTCCGAAAATTCATGAAAAAAATTGTCCAACGGGGCGATTTTTGAACGGGTCATTTTGGGAACGAAATGAAGTATTCATTAGAAAGCACTAACCTTCTAGTTCTTCCAGAAGAAAAGAATTGCAAAAGGTACATTCTGAAGAAAGTTATAACTTGAAAGCCAAAAAATCCTGGGAAAAAAATGTCCAACGGGGCGATTTTTCAAAGAAAAGAGATGTTGCGAAAGTTCGAGCACTTTTTAGAAAGGAAACAATCTGTTGTTTAAAATTTTCTTACCACTTCTCAAATTCCTTATTTTTAGGTCGGTCCATAATTTTTGAGAACCTTTGGTGTTTTTCGACTTAATTACTTATCTTATTTCTCTGATGTATTTATTCAGCATAGTATACATCACCATTATTACCAACATATCACCAATGCGAGGGTGGGTATTCAGTGTCTCCC